TTATATATATATAAATATATATATATATATATATATATATTATTATCTTTTTTTTACTTTAATAACTTTATAACTTTTTTTTTCTATATTTTTTTTATATTTTAATTTATATCTCACGTAAACTTAAAAAATAACATACAATTCTTTTTATAATTAAATTTATTATATTTTTGGAAATATACATCTAATATTTATTTATTAAATCTTTTTATTTATTTAAATTTTATTATTAAATTTCATAAAAATATAATTATAATTTAGTTTACTTTAATTATTATAATTTTTAAAATAACTTTTTTTTACAACTTTACTATTAATAATATTTTTTTCTTTATATTTATCATTTTTAAATACACATAAAAATAAAAATTTTTACGTTCAAAATTTTTTAAATAAATATATTAACCAAAAATTACAATTTTCAATAAGCAATCTAATAAAAATTAATATTTTTATAACTAACTCAAACTATACTTTAAATAATTTTAAACTTATAAAATTAATATAAATTTTTTTAAATTAATTATTATTTTAAAATTATATTAAATATAAAATAATAGATATTTTTTAATTAAAATAAAATATATAATAATATTAAAACCTGTAATAAAATATGTTAAAAAAATATTATGAACAACATTTATTTTTTTTAACACTAAAATAAATTCTCTCTAATGTCAATTAAAATAGAATAAAAATTATCAAAAAAAAAAAAAAGATTATTTTAAAATTCAAATCAAAAAATATATCATGATTTTTTTAAAAAAACAATATAATATATAACTTAAAATTAATTTTGTCAAAATAAAAAACATCGATTATATTATAAATCAATAAAAAAACTAAAATTAAATTGATACAAATCATAAGATTTTTCTTTAATTAACAAAATAAAAAAATAAATTATAAAAATGTAAAAAAATAGGACATAACGCATTATATTCAAACCATATTTATCTCCATTTAGAATTTTATTTAAAAATATATTTAAAAAACAGTGTTTTTTCATTTAATTATGAATTTTTTTTTTAATATAAAATATTAATTAAATGCAAATATTGCATTAAAGTAACTTTTTAAAATAAAAAACTCAATTTATTAATTTTATTTTAGATTTATTTCTTAATTTTTTTTTAATATTCTTAAATAATACAAAAAAAGATTTAAAAAGTTTCTTTTTGAAATTAAATATTTTTGTAATTATTTAAAACTTAATATAAATTTAAATTTTTATTTACGATTTTTTATATTTTTCCCTAAAAATATTCAATATATATACTTTAAATATTAATAGGAATATTAATTCCAGCTAAAATAAAATATACACTTCCTAATATATCAAAAAAATATAATTTTTATTCTTATTTGTTTCATAAATTCTTATAAAAAAATTCGTTAAAAGCTATTTTTCTTCATTATTAATTTATTAAAATAATTAATTGTTCTTCATTTTTATTTTATATTTTTTATATCTATTTATTTTACAAGATTTTTTATAAATTATTTGATAATTTTTTATGTTTTTGTTAATAATCTTTTATTTTATTTAAAAAATAAAAATTATAAATAAAAATATATATGTATTTGTAAAAAAATCATTTAAATATTTTTATTTGCAAAATTCTTTTAATATTTATTTTTTATTTCAATTATTTCTAAATTATACTATATTGTATAGTTTTGTTAAAACAATTTAATTATTTATCAAAGAATTCTGATTTTTTTTATATTTTAATATTAAAATTTGGGTTAATCATAGTAAATAAATAATTATTTATTCCTTTTTTTAAGGATTTATTTAATATTAAAGATTTTATATTCATTGAATTTTTAAAAAAAATATTTTCTTTTTATACAAAAAGATATTAATATATTAAATTTTAAATAAAAGAAATATTTTTATTTTTTAAAAAATAAAATGCATAAAAATATCATTAAATTATTAATTTATTATTAAATTAATATTAAATTTATTAAAAAAATTATAAATTTTACATTAAACAAAAACTATTTAAATTATTAACATATTATTAAAATTCATTTTGTTAAAGCATTTTAATAAAAATATAGTTTTTTATTTTTTAATAATAAAATAAATTTATATGGAAATAATATCATTATATAAATGAATTTTTTATAAAGCCTCATATATATTAAAATAAAAATTCAATTAAACTTATCTAAAATATAAAACTAATTTTATATAAGTATTTAAATAAATAAAATATAAAATATAAAAAAGAAACTTTGATAAATAATAATATAAAATATAAATAAAATACATTTAGTATTATTAACTAAATAAAGTAAAATATATTTTTAATTAAAAAGATATTAATATATATAAATATTTTTTTAATTATATAATTAAAATTTCTTTTTTAAAAAATAAATTAGACATAAAATCTTTTTATTAAAAAAATTCAATAAATGAGCTAAGAAAACATTAAAACGATTTAAGAATATTAAGATCTTGTTTAAATTGAAATGTAAAAATTAAATATTTAATAATTTGATGATAAAAGTCTTAAAATAATTAATAGAATATTGGAAATATTAGAAAATATGGAGGAAAATATAAATGTAAAAAAAAAAATACTTATAATAAAAAAAAAAAGATAAGCTATGATTAATATAATATTGAAATAATATTAATTTAATATTTATGTTATTTAATTGGCCAAGATAAAGTAAATGCAAAATTTTTTTGGATGAGAATTCCTGTAAAAAATCTATAAAAAAAAAATATAAAAATATATATATAATAATATATATATATATATATATATATATTTAATTATATAAATATTAATAGGAAAAATATAAAAATGATTAAAGTTTATAATAAATATATAATATTTTTCTAAAAATGAAAAAATATGATTGTAAAGCATTAAATCAAATAAAAAATTAGATAATTAAATCTTAAAATAATAATATAGTAAATTTTTTGTTAAATTTATTGTTTTTATCTTAATAATAATATTTAATTTAAATTGTTTCTTAAAACTATATTAATATACATCTTAAAGAACTCTAAGAAATATTAGAAACAGAGTATATATATTTTATAATAAAATATTATTTTAATATTTAATAGCTAAAATGAATGTTAATAAATTGCTAATAGATTAAATTGGAGAATAGATTAAGAAGGATTTGTATTTCCAAATAACACTTAATAAAACAATAAAGATAAATTTAAAGAAATAAACGAGACTTAAATAGAATAAATAACAAAATTAGTTTCATTTTTAGATACTTTATAATGATGATTTTTTTAAATAAATACATTATATATTTTTAAATTAAATTAAAAAATATAAAAAATTTAAAAAATAAAAAATTATATTTATAAACTTTACTCATTAATAATTAATATTTCTTTTATTTTTAAACAAAAAAAAGATAAAAATTTATTAATTTTTTAAAAAATAATTATATAGAGTAATAAATATCTTAATTTAATAATAATTATAAATAAATAAAATATTTAATTGTTTCAAAAATAATTTAATAATATTTTTAAAACAACAAAATAATAATAATAAAAAAAAGAAAGCGTATTTAAATAAAAACTTTATAAATGAAAAATCAAGAATAATAACGAAATAATATTTAACCATTAAGTTCTGTTTCATTTTAAGCATTATTATATTATAATTAATTGTATTAGTTTATATTTTTTATAGTTGAAATATCTGTATTTTTTTATAAAGGATTTAATTTATATTATCCAAAAAATGTAATTATTGTAGATATAACAATCTTAATAATTTTATATATTACATAAAACATAAGATTTACAATGGGAACTTTTGGTAATAAAAATGAATCAAGTTCAGGTATAATATTTTTTTTAGTAATCGCTATATTTAATATGGTTGCATTTGTTTATTTTGTAAGACTATAAACATATGTTTTAATGATAGAATTCATAGTAGGAATAATAAGTATTGTATTTTTAATATTAGAAATAATTACTGGATTAATAGCTTTTGTTTATATAAAATCTTATGAAAAATAATAATATTGAAATATATATATATATAATAATTACTATATTAAAATCTTTATTTATTACATTTTATAGAATTATTTTTTAAAACTAGAAAAAGAATGAAATTTTATTAAAATAAAAAATATTATATTAATATTTATGATTATTTTATTTTAAATAAATTTAAAAAATATATTAAAAAAATATGTATACAATTTAAAATAAAAATAAAAAATTAAATTAAAAAAATAAAACAAATAAAATTGATATATAAAAATAAATATATATATATAAATATATATATATATATATTTATATATATATATATAATATTTAATTAATAAACATGAAAAACATTTAATTTATTATTTCTATTTTCTTTGTTTTTTTTCCAAAAATTTACTTTATCTTTTAATTCTTCCAAAAATTTTCTTTAAGAATAAGTTGATAATGATGCTGAAGAAATTGATACTAATGATTCTTCAGATAATTCAGAAATTTCTTAAAATGAATTATTTTGTATAATTGACGAAGATTGTCCCAGATTATATATTTGTGATTATTTAAAAGAATGTATTCGTAAGCCTTTATTCCCTTTAACATATCAAGAAATATTAGGTACTATATTACTTGTAATATTTCTCGGTCTAGGTTAATCTGCTGGTATAGGTGGTGGTACAATAATAATTCCTATTATGTTAACTTTATTCGAATACGATAATGTAAAAGGAGTTTCCTGTGTTTTTATATTGATTATGAGTGGTTCTTTTTGTCATTTTATCTCTATTTCGACACAAAAGACAGAAAACAAAGATTATCCTTTAATAGACTATAAATTGATTTTGATAATACTTCCTCCATTAATAATAGGGACAATATATGGAATTATATTAAATAAATTTTTACCCAATTTAATTATATATATATTAATAACTATTCTTTTAATAAGATAAATGTATAAAACATACTCCAAATATAAAGTAATTGAATAAAAATAATAATAGTTAATAGACAGAGAAAGTCAAAAATAAGCTTTAGGAAACAAAATCTTCCTCTAAGTACCTAAAATGATTATAAATTTAAGTGACAACATTAATTTTTAAATAAAATAATCGGAAGAATATATAAATGTTCTAAATGAGGAAAAAACACTTTTTCCAACATAACTTATAATGAAAATAATCATAGTATGTTTTGTTTTTATAATATTTTTCGCTTTAAGAGGTTCTTATGGCTTTGATTCTTGGCTAGGAATTACATCTTGTGGATTTTTATATTAGTTTCTTAATATATTAATGTTTTATATAATAAGATTCTTGACAGAGTTTTTTATAGAATATATAATAGAAGTTGAAAACTTTAAATAAAAATGCGGAGATACATTTCAAAATGGAAGAAAGACATACGAAAGTTTACATTAATTTGCTAAAGTAGGATTTTATTAAGGTATACTTTCAGGAATGCTTGGAGTAGGTTTTTATTTTATAAAATAAATAAAAATTAAATATAAATATATATATATATATATATATATATATGTTTAAGGCGTTGGATTATTACTTGTACCTAAATGGTAATTATATAAAATCAGTCCATAAAAAAATATCGCTTGTTCAATATGTTTACTTACTATTACGTTTATTTTTGCTTTTATTAATGTTATCTTTAAGGTATATATAGTGTTTCCGATATTCTTTTTTATAATTTTCTTGGAATTATAAGTTATGGACTCGTTTCTATTTAAATAAAACAATATATTAAAAAAACTAAAAAGGATTAAGGTTTAGTACTTGCTCTTCTTTTTATTATGGGAATTTCTATTTTTTTTATGGTTTATGCCATTTTTAATTAAATTTACTAAAATTTTAATAAATTTAATGATTTCGGTGAACTATGTTGATAATTTTTTATTTATATATAATTTTTTTGATATATTTAAATATATATAGATAGATTAAATTAATAATACATTTTTGTTAAAAAAAAAAAATTAAAAAATTAAATAAAAATAAAGATACAAATATATTAATAAAAAAAAAATATAATAATTAAATTAATATAAATTAAAATAAAAAAATTGATATTAATAGAAAAATTATTATAATATATTAAATAAAAATAAATAGTAAGTATATATGTATATATGTAATATATATATTTATATTTATATTTATATTTATATTTAAATAATATATATTTATATTAATTTATTTTTATTTTTTTAGTATTTTATAATATTTAGAAATTTATTATTTATTTAATTTGTTATTTGTATATTTTTTTTAATTTTTTAAATTTCTATTTTTTAATCATATAAATTCTTTTTTTTTAAATTTTATTATATTTTATTATTACTATTTTATTCAACTTCTCAAATTTTTAATATACCTAATTTATATTTTCAAAAAAAATTATTCAAATTATTTTCTTTCTAAACTTTTATAATTTAGAATATTTAATTTTTACTAAATCTTAAACTTATAAAATTAATCAATTTTTTTATTATATTAAAAGCATTTAATAAATTTCTTAAGCATTCTATTTTATCCCAAAAATTTTATAAAAGTTTAAATATTTCTTACAATATAAATTTTAATAAAAATTTATAAAATATTTTTATTTTGCTTTTTATATTTTTTATCCTTAATTATTTCTTTTATTTAACTCTTTTTTAACAAAAAATATCTCTTTATTTTCCGAAAAATCTTCAAAAAAATCACAATTATTGGCTACTGATAATAACTAAAGCCTTTATTTAAAAAAAATATTATACACTTTATATTTTAAAATGATTATAAATTTAAACTTATGTTATAATTTATTTAAATTAATGATATCATTTAATAAAAATTCCTATTTATTTTACATAATCCTCTTTCTATTTGATTTGCTAAATTATTTTACTTTTATTTTTTTAAAAAAAAAAATTAAATATTTTATTAACTACTATAAAAAAATGATTTTTAAATATTATTAACTTTTCCACATTTTTTTATTAAAGCAATTAAATTTTTTCCTTTTATAATTTTTATTATTTAAACTTAAGGTTTTTTTATAAAACTTAAAATATCATTCAATATTATTTTAATTTTAAGTTAATATATTTTGATTACAAGAAATTTACCATCCCCTCTTCTCTATATTTAATCATTTGAAATAATCCTAATAATATAATTTTTCATTTAATCCGATCTAAAATACTAAACTTATAATTATCTATCTCTTTTTTTTAGTAATTTATATTATAAGTATTATTTTTATAATTTTATCTATAATAATAAAATATCTACTTAATTTTTACAACTATAGTTAATTTAAACATATATACCTTATTTATAATATTAACTAAGATTAAATAATTAAATAATCAATTATTATTACATTTAATAGAGTGAGTATTTATCCTTTTTATTTTCGTTGCTTTATTTTAATATTGAGAGCTTTTTTTACTTTTTAAAATTGTCAATAATTATTATAATATTTCGCTCTAAACTATTAATTATTTTAAAATTAGTTTTTTAAAAGTAATATATTCTTTTTTTGTTTTATTTCATATATATTTTAGTATTTTATTTACTATTTTAAAATGAAAAATATTTTTTGTTTTGTTTTAATTAAAATATTTAATATGTGGTTATTAATTATTTTGTAATAATTTAAACTTATAAGATTTCTAATTTATAATATTTTAGAAGTATCCACGTAAATATATAATAAACTAAAATTATTACTTTATATTCAATTAAATTAAAAAAAAAAAATTAAAAACAATAATAATATTAAATAAATATAATAAAAATAAAACAAAAAAATACACAAAATATAAAATGTCTGAAGCTAAAAATCAATTCAATAGTTTAATTAACGGAGCTCTTAACTTTGCTGAAGATTCAAAAAGATTTTTAAATAGATGTTCAAAGCCTAACGCTAAAGGTTTTTTTTTTTTATTATAAATTATATTTAGCTTTTATATTATAATTATTTTATAAAGAATTAAAGAAAACTGCTATGTCTTGTGCCTTAGGATTTGTAGTTATGGGATTAGTTGGATATTTAATTAAACTAGTATTCATACCAATAAATAATATTATTCTTTCTTAATGATCAAAAAAGCAAAAACCAACAAAAAATAAGAAAATTTAAGGATATGTTATATATGTTTATTTAATTTACATATTTTTGTAATTTGTAATAAAATATCTTTATAATTATAAATAAAAAAAAAATTGTTTTTCCTTATTTTTTTTATAATAAATTGTGTATTTTTATATTTTTTTTTATATATATATATAAATTAACTATATTACATAAATTAATTTTTTTTTAACAAATTAAAAAAGTTAAATATTATATATAAATATGATGATGATAAGTTATTATTTATATTATAATTTTTCTATAAAAAATTTCCTTTATTACTTAAATTAACATATAAACAAATAGTTAATTTATTATAATTATAAAATTAAACTTAAAATCACATAAATATTAAATATTATATTATAAAAAATAATGAAATATATATATTACATTAAATTAAAACAAAAAATATATGAATTTCGAAACTCAATCTAAATTATTATAATTAAATAAGGAATTAATAAACTTCATTAAAACTTTATTTCTTAAGCTGCACAAACCCTTTCTTTATCATTAATTTATTTATCTAAATTCACTTTATCTGTATGGGTATTTTATTTTACAATAATATCTATTTTATAATCATCATAATTTAGCAATTCTTATTATAATTTTGTAATAATTGATAATCCAATTTATTAAGCTAAATGACAATGAGGAACTGTAGGTACCCATTATATAATAATATTTTTAATATATTTTTACTCTTAAATATTTTAATTATATATTTATTATTATTCGAATTTAATATTTTCTCTTTATATAATATTTAATTCTTACAGAGTTTAAGGAAATTCGGGATCTCTAATAGATGAAACTATATAAAAAACATCATCTAATATATTATTTATTTAATCTTAATTAAGTATTTAATACATTTATTGATTGTTTATTTTTTTTATGTATATGTATATATATATTTATTAAATTTTTTATAAAAAAAAATATTTGAAAAAAATAAAATAAAATTTACTAAATTATTAACAAATAATTACTTATTTAATTTTTTTTTATTTTTTTTTTTAAGTTTAAAAAAATTATTTAAATTCTAAAAATTTAATTTGTTTTGTTTTGTTTTTATTTCAAATATTTTTATTTAAATGTATTTACAATTTTTTTAATTATTAACATGCAATTTAATATTTTTAAATCCACATGTTTTTTTCTTAATTAATATCTTCTAACTATTTCTTTAAAAAATCAAGTTCATTTCTATTACAAATCTTATTAATTTAATCACTTTTTACAATAATAGGTTTTCTTATAAAGCAAGTTTATTAAGAATATGAATCTTTTTACGGAGAAAGTGATCTTTATGTTTTCGTTTAAATTTTAAATTTTTCAATATCCGAGTTTTATAATTATAATTTAAAAGGTTATTTTTATACATGTAAAAAGTTATTTTCTTTAAAAGAATTTTATACGTTTGAAAGAACTTAATTCATTGTATTATTTGAATTAGAAAGTATTTAATTATTAAATGAATAATTAGGACTTTTATTGAAATATTTAATTAAAATGGAATCATAAGGTAGAATTAAATTATTGAATTTGTCAAAGTCAATAATGAAATTTTCCACAAAGATTTTTTCTTTAGAAATATAATTTTTTTGATTTTCTTATAATAACTCATAATTTAAAAACACTTTCATTTAAATATAGAATTTTTTCATTTATTCCACTTAAAAATTCCATTTAGAAAAATTCCCATCAAAAAGTAAAAATTCGTCTTTAAATTTTCCATATTAAAATAGAAATTCCTTATATTTATTTTCCATTTCTTCTGAATTCCTTTTCTCCGAATTTTTCTTCAATTAAATATTTTCTTTTATTTAATTCGTATTTGATTTACTCCTTAAAAAATTTGAATTTTTCTATTATAGAAAAACACTACTTTATTTAACAGAATTCTCTTCTTTAAAATAATTAAGCTCTTTAGGAAAAACTACCCCTAAATCACATAACTTTAAATAATTTAGTTCAAATTAACTTTTATCAAACCATTTTCCCCATACATATATGCATTCCAAAACTAGTCGAAAAAAACTATTTCCAATAATAGATAATTCTTTAGTAGGATTTTGCGAAAAATATTGTTTTCCTTTATCCTCGTTATTATTTTTTATATCAAATTATGCTATTGTGACTAATATAGGCAATATTTTTTGTATTACTAGGTTTTTTAACTATTCGTTTGTCTCAGTTTTTGTTAATGTTTCTTTTATTAATCGAATTCCATTTAATTATATCATTGGATTTTCGTATTTATTTAACAGGCTTTTGCATATTAATTATATTATTGTTTTTGTTTATATATCTGATTTTAATATTTCACTTTTGTATGTGCGTGAAAACTATTTATATTATTGTGGATTTGACAAAACATTTAAAAATTATGATTCATAAGTAGACATATAAAAAAAAAAATTATTAATTTATAATATATATAAATAATTTTTATATATTTTTTTATTTATAATAAAAATAATATTATGTTTATTTATTTTTAATATATGTTATTTAAAAAATATATTTAATTACCTAAAATGATTATTTTCTAATAATTTTTAAATTATTATATTATTATTATTTAAAATATATTTAAAAATATTACATTATTTTATAATTATTTAAATATTTACTTTATATTCATAATATTATTTTAATATTTATTAAGTTTAATATTTATAATAATATTAATTTATATTTCTATATTATATTTATTCTTTATAATTATTTAATTTAATAATATCCAATTTAATATAAAAAAATAAATTATTTATTAATTAAATTATTAATATAAAATATAATATAAATATCTAATGCATTTAAATGATAATTAATTTATTTATTTACAATTTAATAATTTATTGTCAATATTAATTTATGTAATTTTATATTTTTTATTATTTTATATTTTTTAAAAATTATTTTTTATTTTAATTTTATTATTATATTTAATATGTTTCAATGATTAAAATGAGAAAATATATAGGAAAAATAATATATATACTAGAAAAATTAAAATTTAATATTCAATTATATAATAATATGTAATAAAAAAAAAAA